GGGAAGTGAAGGGCTAGTCGTCTCTTTTCTAAGATAAAAGCCCAAGTCTTTTTAAATCTCTCTTCATATGGGACCCATTCAAAACCCCAATCATTCTGTTGCCCCTTTCTGAACCTTTTCCAATGCCAATGTATCTTTTCTGAGATGAGGTAATCACACCTGTATGCAGTATTCAAGATGTGGGAGTACCATGGTTTTATATAGTGGCAACAAGATATTCTCCTTCTTATTCTCTATCCCTTTTTTAATGATTCTTAAGAATCATTAAGAGCTAGGACCACCAAAATTGGAATGCAGCTTCCTCTTATCTTAACTTAGTAAGGTCAGAGTTTGGTTGTGCCAGAAAACAGCAGTTTAAGACAGTTTCACTATTAGCTCTCTCAATTAATTTTATTGTAAAATTGAGACATAAAAGGCACTTACTCTGAAACCCCAAGAATATGAGGTTCCTCTTCAACACTTAGTTTTAGTAGTCTGATAGAAAATATGCTGTGACTAGCAGGGAAAAACAGACAAGTGGTCATCAACAATCACACTTCCAACTAGAACAACATTTGAGTTGAACAAGTATTTTGTTTTTAACTAGTTGAGTGGTATTAACATGTATAAGAGAAAATTAAGCATCAGACAAAATACATGTTAAGGTGCATATTTGTACAGCCAATAAAAGTCCGTATATTATACGATAAATGCCAATAAAAAACAAGGTAAAGAGCTAAACAGAGGTACTTAAAGTATGGGAGTTAGCTGCTTCAGAGGAGGAAAATGGTTTTCATGAGTCAGAGTTTGGCTTCAATGGCATACAGAAATCTACTGATCCATGACAGATTAATGTAGGGATCCCTGAATACAAGAACTTCAGACAGGAACTAGATCTTCCCCTGCCTCTGAAGTTCCAACTCCCTGGAAATACACTGAGTTGATTTGGAAGGGGATAAGAGGAATCTGCTAGTCTATTAAATCACCCTGGTTTTTAGCATATACATAAATTAGCTATTGTTCAGTTTACCCAATATGCTGTAAGGTTTTCCTCGTACAGGCAGTCCCTGGGTTACGTACAAGATAGGGACTGTAGGTTTGTTCTTAAGTTGAATCTGTATGTAAGTCGGAACTGGCGTCCAGATTCAGACACTGCTGAAACTGACCGCCAGTTCTGACTTACATACAGAATCAACTTAAGAACCCCAGGCGTCCCCAAGTCAGCTGCTGCTGAAACTGATCAGCAGCTGATTCCAGGAAGCCCGGGGCAGAGCAACTAGTGTGTCCTTGCACTGCTGTTCCCCCAGCTGGGGGAGAGGGAGCAGCAGCGTGCAGACCTGCTTCTGGCTCTGCTTCTTCCCTGTGGGCAAAATCTGGCCAGGAGGTTCAGGACTTTCTCCCTTGCCTCCAGAAAGAAGCTAGTGGTGGTACTCCAACCTCACAGGGGAGTGGTGAGCCTGGAGCACCAGTGCAGGCTCCCTGTTGCCAGGGAGGGAGGCTGAGCTCAAGCCACAGACCACCTGGAAGGCAGCTGGTGACTGCTAGTCGTCCACAGACCGCAGTTTGAGAAGCGCTGCCCTAGATCAATACCCTCAGAAAGAAGCAGTCATTAGTGCTCTGAAATTTGATACTCTGGCTGCTAGACTAGATGGAAGTAAAATTTCAGCATTAGTATGTTCTGCTTCTAATTCCTCCTGCATAGTCTGAGCACCCTAGTTAATCTCTACTAAAAAGTTTGGTATAAAGGCACTCCAACTGTTGAGTCACAGTTTCTGAAGGCATTATTTTAGTGTGTACAGGCCATGACTTAGAATCAGAAATGGAGCATCAGTGTAACTGTTCCATGCATGAAGCTTTGCTAAGAAAGGAGACCAGAAGTGAAAGTAAGTGGGTGCACCTTGGTGTGCAGTTCTGGCAAGAGCTGGCTGAGCTGCAGCAAAAGCCAGCAGTGAGCTATTTAAACAGCTGGTATAGACATGGATTGCAAAAGGACAGTACCTGTAAGATATTAAGGTACTTTCCCTGCTGAAGAGGACAGTTATGCTCTGCACTAGCTTAAGGGATAATCAAGCATGGCCTTCTATGGGTGGATTCAGGCTGCCACTGTACAATAGGAGATTGTGAGCTTTCCCATTGAAGACAGACTGAAAAAAGCATCCTTGCTCAACAGATAAACAGACATCACACAGCAAAGTGTAAAAAGAACCTTCCCGTGTTATAAAACTGAGTAACAAATGGGCATACTTTTCCCCCTTACTTAAACATAACCCTATATCATCTCAGTCTTTTCTGAACTGAGCTACAGCCAACTAGCTGTATCCATAGAGACTAAATGGAAAGATGAACTGCAATATCTTAGTCTGGCAAAAGGTACACATATTAGCATCAGAAGAAAGGCTCTACTGCAGGTTAAATGATAGTGGGAAGACAAGGAAATCTTGAGAAACCCCAACTGGAGACCAAGCAGTTGCCTAGTAAAATCCTGTTTAATCAGTTAACTGGTTAAATATAACATTTAACCAATTAACCACTTAAACAGGATCTCAAGGGTGAGGAGGGCTGTTGTAACCTGGCTAGGCCTGCTATGGGGCGGCGGGACTGCTCTGGCTGAGCCTAGCAAGCAGGGGGTGCTCTGGTTGGAGAGGGCTGTTGGCTCTAGCCTAGCTGCACTGTCAGTTAACTATAAATGTGATGCTTACTGGTTAACCACTGATATCCCTAACCCTGTACTACCTTCTGAGGCTGAAGAGAAAATAGCCATTCCAATCCTATTTTATTTATCTCTACAAAGATCCACTGATTTGTCATCTCAATTGTATGGATCTGATTACTGGATACAGGATTTGATCCATTTTGAGATAAAGTGATTAAACCTGTGCAATTTCTGTACCATAGTGAGGCCTTAGATCGGGGTGGGGAACCTCAGGCCCAGGGGCCAGATGCAGCCCCCAACTTGCCTGGCTACGGGCCCCCGAGGCTCTGCACTGGAGAGTCTGTGCTAGTGCTCCAACCCACTTGCAGGGCTGGAGCACAAAATCTATTAGCTTGCCTCCCCCCAGGCTCTGGTGTTCAAGGGGAATGTGGGGAGGGTTTTTCTCCTCCTCAGTCAGGAGTTTCTCAGTTTGTTTCTCACTTGTGTGCAGCCCCTGACTGATTTTTCTGTCGGTCAGCAGCCCTTGACTCAAAAAGGGATCACCATACCGGTCAGATTGAAGAGGTGAAGAAAATTACTCAAATTACTGTTAAACCAGCTTTGTCAAAACCTCTCTTCCCCAAACAAGGGAATTTAAGGACCGGCTACAATGGCAAGAATACAATCAAGCAACGTCTTCAGCAATCAACTGATAGTTCTTTCCAAAGATGCTTTCAAAGTATTATAATTTTTTTCAATTTAAAACAAACAAAAAAGGGTAAAGTACATGGACATATATATTGTTACAGGCAAGCAAACCTTCTGCTTGAGTGTTGGTTCATTCTAGTGCAAGCCAAGCTTCGGTTCTTGTTTCCTGTTTTTAATATTTTGCAAGCCTCTTCAGTGCTCTGAATGTTGATCCACTTTAAATCTGTAGAAAGAGACTTGTTTACAAACACATCAAGTTACTAACATTTATACAAGACAAATAACATCACAACAGTAATGTTATTACCTTTTATACAAGAGCTTCCCCCTGGATCCTCACAGATTCTTAGAATTTTGCGTTTTTGATTTTTTGACATAGCAAATACATCCAGAAGGTCAAACACATACTCATTATAAATTTCACAGAAGGAAACCCACACCGAAAACTGCATTCTCTGATGCTTAATCCCATCAGCGTCCAGTAAAACAGAGTCCTCCACTGTTAACCATAAAAAAAAAAAAAAAAAAAAACCAACCACAACACAAAAAAAAA